ACACACTACACACAAGTAAAATTTAAAAAATTAAAAATCAAACAAAATATAAATTTAATTACCTACTTAAATATTATCCACAGTATTTTTTTTTCATCTATACCATGTAGGAACAAGAAACCCAGAATAATGGGGCTGGAGAGATGGCCCAGCTGTTAAGAGCATTGGCTGCTCTTGTAGAGGACTTGGGTTTGATTCCCAGTACCCACATGGCTAAAAACCATCTGTAACTCCAGTTCCAAGAGATCCGATGCCTTCTGACTTCCATGGGCACTGTATGACACAAGTGCACTTACATACATTCAGGCAATACACCCATTCATACATATAAAATAAATAAATAAATAATACAGCCTAAAAAGTATCCACTGACTTTCCCTGTGCCCAGCCTGACCTATGTTCAAATGATCTACTGCCTTGGCCTCTTGCATACCTAGCAATACAGGCACAGGTGATTGTGCTTGGCTTAACTGCAAAACAACTAAACAGCAAAAACTAGCACTTTTTTTAAAATTTTTTTCCTTTTTTTTTGAGACAGCGTTACCCTGTAACCTCAACTGGCCTGGAACTCTGTATGTAGACCAGGCTGGCTTCGATCTCACAGAGATCTGCCTGCCTCCGCCTCCTGAGTGCTGAGATTAAAGACATGCACCACCACGCCTGGCTTAAAAAATAGTATTTTTAAAGAAAGCCAGAATACTATATGCTGAAAATGTTAACTATATGTTATATAAAATACTAAAATCTAAAAGCAATAAATGAGTGCTGGAAATGTAGTTCAATTCGTGTTTGCTTAGCCTGCACAAAACTCTGGTTTCAATCCCCAACACCACATTAAAAACAAGCCAAAAAACAAAATGTAGGTGTGGTCCTGCATACAGGCAATTCCAGCATTTAGCCTGTAATCCCAGTACTTAGGAAATAGAGACAAGGGAGTCGGAAGGATCACAAGTTCAAGGTCATTTTCTGCTACATAGTGAGTTTGAGGCTAGCACAAGCTATAGGAGACCCTGTCTCAAAGGGAAAAAAGAAGAAAGAAAAACAAACAAACTTTTTCTTCAATTTTAATTTTTTGGAAGATTTTTAAAAGAATCACTTTATTAGAATGAACTCACAAAAATATCACACAGCCGGATGAAGGTAACCACTCAAACAGACAATTGCCCAGTCTGAAATCAGTGCAGCTCAGGGAATTCCTATACAGTTACAATGGCCATGCTGACGCCATGGTGCTCACATAGGGGTTTTCCCTTTCACTGCCAATTACATTTTTACACACTTATCCACCACAAGAAGGAAGGAAGGGAGGGAGGGAGGGAGGAGGGAGGGAAGGAGGGAGGAAGGAAAACTGTAACAGAAATTTTGGCTTTTTCATTAGCTCTTTGAGAATTTCATAGTGTATTTTGATCACATTTGGCCTCCCTCCCCTTTCCTACCCATCCAACTTTGTGTCCTCTGTTTTAAAAAAAAGCAACCATCAAATCCAATTTGTGCTGCCCAGATACTCAATTTTTGGTTTTTTCTGAGACCAGTCTTGCTATGCAGACCAGCCTGGCCTTGAACTTGTGGCCTCCTGCCTCTGCTTTCCCTCGTGGGGCTTACAGGCATGTGCTACCACACCTGGCTGGGAGATAAAAATTTTTAAAAATTTTATTTATATTTTTGTTTTATGTATTGTGAATGTATTGCCCACATGTATGTAAGTGCACCCATGTCATGTAATGCCCACAGAGGTCAGACGAAGGCACTGGATCCCCTGGAACTTGGAGTTACAGGCTGTTAGTGGCCAGGTGGGTGCTGGGAATTGAACCCGGGTCCTCTGTAAGAGCAGCCAGTGTTCTTAACCACTGAGCTATCTCTCCAGCCCAGAGATAAACGTATTTTGTTGGTTTTTTTTTTTAATTAAAAAGGGACAACTTAGCCGGGTGTGGTGGCACACGCCTTTATTACCAGCACTCGGGAGGCAGAGGCAGGCAGATCTCTATGAGTTCAAGGCCAGCCTGATCTACATAGTGAGTTCCAGGCCAGCTGGGGCTACAGACTACAAGGAGACCCTGTCTCAAAAAAGACCAAAAAAAAGGAGGGGGCAGGTGGGACAACTTAATGAGGTAGGAACTTTTAGTACCACCATTTTACAGATTTGGAAATTGAGGCACAGAGAAGTAAAGTAACTTGCTCAGTCCCCCATCATATACTGGGACCCCAGCAGGCTAGTGACAGAGTACATTCTTGACCTGTATACTATGCTGCCTCAGTGGGTCTGGCCTGTGGTGGTCACAGGCTACTAATTCCATTCAATTTCTGCACAAGGCATATGCACAGTTTCTGCAAGGTATGGTGTCTATAGTGAAGCCTTTACAGCTGCCTGACAGGCTCTGTCGGCCAAGAAGCTTGTGTCAAGGGTCCGTATCATTTCCCTGGAACAGGTTATGAAGGCACCAAACCAGATGTGATCCTCAGGCTGGAGCAGGAGGAAGCACCTTGGGTTTGTGAGGCAGCATGCTCAGGCTGCCACTGTCGGGGTGAGTGTGAGAGATTTAGTACAAGCCACACTATGGGTTTTGCTCTTGAACCTTCCTGCATCCCATTCCATAGCTGAGTGGTCCTCCTACCTCGCTTTGATTCTTAGCTCTGTCCTTATCTGCGTGGTCCATCTTCTTTTCTCCCGGATGCTCATCTCTTGACGTCATCAGTACTCTTTGCTTTTCACATTATGATGCTCTCAAAAATAAACTGCTATGGTTCTGTTCCTGCTGGTCCCTTCCTGTCCTGTGTTCTAAAACTTTCCAGGTGAAATACTTCAGATCTGCCTGACATGTCCACAGTCTCACTACCCAGCATTTCCTTAGTCCTTACGATAAGAGTTAAGCCACATGAGATCATAGAGGAGGACGCTGTAAACTCCACATGGGATGGGTAGGTGACCAGGCATGCCTGTGTGGTGAAGTAGATGGCTGAGCTGGGCCCACGAAAGCTAGAATAAATGTAAAATAGCTCTGTAAAGTCCATCAACGATACCTATCATGCCCTGGGGGGGGGGTAGATGCCTCTTTCAGAGACGCTCTCTAGCTTCTGCTTCTCTTTAAGAGGCTAGATCTTAAAGCCTCTGTTCTGCTCCCAGATATCTTTAAATCACGTGTGGTTTTGTAGTATAATTGCATAATTGAATTAAGTATTATATACCAAAGAATCCTTGTCCCTTTCGTGCTTGTCAAAATGATGTCTTTGAAATTGCCACCAGCCACCTTCCAGTGACTGTAAATCAGCATCATTGGAAGCATTGAATAAGTGTTCACTCTGCCATAGTCTGAGCATTTCATGTGTATCTACTGATTTCACCTGTACACTTGTAAAGTAGCCAGACCATTACACCACTTACAAATGAGGAACCAACCAGAGGACATATAGGAAGGGACAGAATAGGAACTGGAACCTAGGTCCTCAGCACTCCAGAAACAGTGCTCTTTTTTGTTTATTTGTTTCAGGTAACTGCTTAAACTGCTTGTCAAACTCTAAAATGTTAAGAAGGTGTCACTTGGATTTCTTCCTAAAATCCTGATTCTGATTCAATAGCTTTTAGGTGAGGCCTGAAATTGAACATCTCTAAAAAGTAAGGCCCAAGTTGCCCCTTCAAGACCTTCACATTGAATAGCAAAGTGCTATATTACATTTAAACCTCTTTGAGTATTAGAGATCAGCAAACCATAATCTACAGGTTAGCCAACCATTTTTTTCAATGAATATTTTTATCGAATTTTTGTGCATTTCATACAGAACATCTTAATCATCTTTATATACCCTCCCCATCCACACTCCCTATAGTGCCACCCCCTAGATTTCATGCATTCTGTCATTTGTGTTAAGGCCTATCAAGTCAAGTTAGTGTCCCCAGATGTCCCTCAGTGCAAGTTCATCCAGAGTCTCTCCCTTAAAGAATACCAACTCTCCCTCACCCAGCAGTAATCAGCTGCCAATTGTTCTTTGGCTAAGGTTGGGGCCTGCTGCCCGTTTCCCCAGTTCTATGCTAGGTTTTTGTCTGAGTGAGTTTGCATGGGTATTGTGCATGCTGACACTGTTGTTCATATGAGCAAGGTCCCAGGAGCCTGTAAGACTTTGTTTCCTTATGGTCATGTGCCTCTTTCCCTGGCTCTTACAGTCTTTCCATCCTCCCTTCTGGCCAACCTTTTTTTGAATAAAGTTTTATTGGTATATGACCACAGTCTTGCCTAGGTTTTCATTCTATAATGGGAAAGTTGAATAATTGCAACAGAAACCATATAATCCATAAAGCCTAAAATATTTAGTCTTCAGCTCTTTAAGAACAACTTTGCCAACTCCTGCTCTTTGATGCCATCTTCATGAGCCTGGATTCTAATTCATTCTGTTTGTGCCAGTGTTCTGAACCTTCTCTACTCACAGACTGCTCTAATCTGAATTGTGCTTTTGTTTATGGTTCATCTTTATTCATGTACTGTGCACCCTTTAAATCTTGAGATCATTTCATAAAGAGTTTTCATTTCAGATTACAGTAAGTATAAGATTCCTAAGAGAGCATTACTTATATTTTCTCCAGAAGACAGATGGCACGTTAATGTCCAGAGAAAAGGACGGCAAGACATGCTTCTCAGACAAGGTGCATTTGTCAGCAAGAAAACATTGTCCAAAGAAAAGAACCATGAATGTAGTAAGTTTGGGAAAATATCACTCCTGAGTACTGATATTTTTTCAATTCAAAGCCCCAACAGCTGGGATCCTTGTGGAAAGAGTTTAAATCATGACTTAGACTTGACGGGTTTTAAGAGAAACTATGTGAAAAAGCAAGGCGAGTGCTATGGACTGGGGAACTGGTTACGGCATATAAGCCATGGTAGAAGATCTAATGAAGAAAAACCCCAGGGCTGCAGTCAATGTGAAAAAGCTTTTGACCATAACCCAACGCTTACATATAAAACAGTGGTGGCTAATTCTCTTGTGTGCAAACGGAAGCGGCTTCTACCTACGGAAAAACCCCACGTCTGTAGTGAGTGTGGGAAAGGCTTCTGCTACAAGTCGGAATTCATTAGGCATCAGAGAAGTCACACAGGGGAGAAACCTTATGGGTGCTCTGAGTGTGGGAAAGCCTTTTCACATAAGTCAACCCTCATTAAACACCAGAGAATTCACACAGGGGTAAGACCCTTTGAATGTTTTTTTTGTGGGAAAGCCTTCACCCAGAAATCACACCGCACAGAACATCAGAGAACACATACAGGGGAGAGACCATTTGTGTGCAGTGAATGTGGAAAGTCGTTTGGTGAGAAGTCATACCTCAATGTACATCGGAAGATGCACACAGGAGAAAGACCCTATCGTTGCAGAGAATGTGGAAAATGCTTTAGCCAGAAATCATGCCTCAATAAACACTGGAGGACTCATACAGGAGAAAAACCCTATGGGTGCAATGAGTGTGGCAAAGCTTTCTACCAGAAGCCAAACCTCAGTAGACATCAGAAAATTCATGCTAGGAAGAATGCCTATAGGAATGAAAATCTAATAATTGTGGGCAAGCCTTGAGCAAGATACCCAATCTCATCAATTAATGAATGTAAACAGTATTTTATTAAAAGAGAATTCCTCCTCTCATCATATTGATAAAAATTTCAACATAAAAAACATAAAATATTTCAAAAATATAAACATCACTACTTTGCCATAAAAAGGTTTAATTTTATTAAATAGGATGACAACAGAATATGAAATGTATGTGAAGAGACTGGAAATATGTTGTGGTACATTCCTCAGTGATCTGTATAAGAATTATTTTATTTTGGAATTGGAAATGTGAATTTAATATAAATTGAGAATACCAAACCCATATGTCATATACAATATAGAATACCCCCCACCAAACTTTCCATTCTAAATATCGCCATTGTCTTTCGATATGTTAATTGTGTAGAAAATAATGCTATGGTCAACTCTTTTAAGAACCTCAACATATCAGCTACATTTTCTGCACCTGGTAATAAATGTAAATGTCTATAGTAGTTCTTAGTGATCCTTTGACTGAATAGACACTGTTTTAAAATATCTTGATAAGTCAAGCAAAAACTTGACCAAAATCTTGTTTATGTTGGAAGTGCAAAGCTAAAGAATACTTTTAACAGCATGGAATTGAGTAAATGACAATATAAACTTGATTGCTCAATGTACTATTTGACAAAAATACTTTATTGTACACTGTACATTTTTTCTTAGTCTTTATTAAAATGTCTCGTAGTAACTGGAAGAATCATTTTTTACAAGAATAATTCTTTATATATTCTTATAATGCAGAACTGTTTCATACAGAAATCAGGGAAGTGGGATTTCTTTCTTTTTTGTTATTTTTTCCTCTCGCAAATTATTGCAACAGCATCTTCTTTTCTTCCCTATAATTTTCTTTGATTATCATGGGCAGCAGATCCAAAGTTTTCCATAGTCCTAATATTTGAGAAAAGTCTACTTCCATATTGCCCATATAAGAAAAGAAATGAGCCGGGCATAGTGGCACATGCCTTTAGTCCCAGCACTCAGGAGGCAGAGGCAGGCAGATCTCTGTGAGTTTGAGGCTAGCCTGGTTTACATAGAGTTTTCCAGGCCAGTTGGGGCTACAGGAAACCCTGTCTCAAAAAGACCAAAAAAAAGAAATGAAGTTGAAATGTATATTCTTCATATTTGCCTCCCATTGTGACTACCTGAACCAGAATTAGGGAGGAGACATAACTACAAATGAAGGCATGGAGCTGGGAAAATGACTCAGTGGATAAAGTGTTTGTCACACAAGTGTGAGGACCAGAGTTCAGATCCCAGAATCCAAATAAATGTCAGGTTGGCATGGTGGCCCACCTGTAATTCCAGCACTAGGAAGACAGAGGCAGTGGGTCCCCAGAGCAAGCTGCCTGGCTAAATTAGCTTCATTAGTGAATTCTGGGTCCAACTGAGAGTCCTTGCCCTAGTGAGTAGGATGGAGAGCAATTAACTCCAGGCATCAACCGTAGGCCTCTGCACCTGCACACGTGTATGCACACACACACACACACACACACACACACACACAAAAAACGGAGATAGTCATGGTTAAAAAAGAATGATAGCCGGGCGTGGTGGCGCACGCCTTTAATCCCACCACTTGGGAGGCAGAGGCAGGTGGATCATTGTGAGTTCAAGGCCAGCCTGGTCTAGTCTACATAATGAGTTCCAGGACAGCTGGGGCTACAAGGAGACCCTGTCTCAAAAACAGACAAACAAACAAACAAAAAGGAATGATAAAGCTGTGTGTGGTGCCTTTAATCCTAGCACTCAGGAGGCAGAAGCAGGTGGATCTCTTTGACATTGAGGCCAGCATGGTCTACATAGTAAGTTCCAGGCCAGCTGGGACCACAGGTAGATCCTGTCTCTCTCTCAAAAAAAAAAAAAGATAAAAAGACACTTTGTGCAACTCTAGATCACATATTTTTCTTTTTTTGACTTTTTTGAGACAAGGTCTTACTATGTATCTCTGGCAGGCCTGGAATTCACTACTTAGTCCAGGATGGCCTTGAACTCACAGAGATCTGTCTGCCTCTGCCTTCTGAGTTCTGGGATTCAAGAGGTATGCCATCACAGCCAGCACTATATGTGTGTGCCTGTGTGAATTTGTGTGCACCATGTGTGTTCATGTGTCCTCAGAGAGGAGAAGAGGGCATTAGATCCCCTGGAACTCGCTATGTAGACCAGGCTAGCCTGGAACTTACAGCGATCTGCCCGCCTCTGCCTCCCAAATGTTGGGAATAACGGTGTGCAGTGTGCCACCAAGCCTTGCCATCACAGCCAGCACTATATGTGTGTGCCTGTGTGAATTTGTGTGCACCATGTGTGTTCATGTGTCCTCAGAGAGGAGAAGAGGGCATTAGATCCCCTGGAACTCGCTATGTAGACCAGGCTAGCCTGGAACTTACAGCGATCTGCCCGCCTCTGCCTCCCAAATGTTGGGAATAACGGTGTGCAGTGTGCCACCAAGCCTGGCTAAAATTTGAATTATTTATTTATTTTTTTTTTATTTTTTTATTTTTTTAATTATTTAATAACCACATGATTAGAAGCATTTCATTACAGCATTAACATATTCAATAACAATTTCCAGAGCAAAGATGCTTCTCTTTCAAAATTAGCTGTAAAATTTGAGGTTCACAGTTAAATTAATACAGTTATACAGTATTGAACTCAGTATAACCCTTATAAGACATAAAATTGAATGAGGTTTTAACTTTTTTTTTAATTACAACATAGAATAAGTAGATTTAATAAATGTTTATAGCATATTTCATCCAACAGCTGTGGAATATACATTCTTTTCAGCAGTCCAGGTAACTTTTTCTAAAATAAATCATATTTTTTTTATTCTTATTCTTTTATGAAGTTAGTTAAAAATTAATGAACAAGAAATTAAAGAGACTGCGCTGCAATTAAGTTAGAATATTCTAACTGAAAAACAATTACTGTGAAACTATTTACATTCTCATAGAATTATAAACATTTCTCAAGGAATACTTTACAGCACAACT